ATTCTCACTACTAACAAGGTTCGCTACGAACGTAGCAAGGACGCTACAAATGTCCAGGCCTCCAGAGCCCGGCTTTTTCCAGCGCTGGGCGCAGCGGGTGCCGTGGATCCGGAGAAAAAGGGTGATCCGCGGTGCCTGGATGCAGCGGTGCCGTGTCCGCAGAGTGTGGTCGCGGACGAGAGGCATTGTTGAATCACGTGGTTCGTGTTATTTGGGGTCAAGTGATCTCAAGTGGCGAACCGAGAGGCATTTAGTTGGTGTTTCTTTTTTGACTCAGTGGGCTCGAGGATTTGGGTTGCCATCCTCACATCTGGTGCGTTCGTGCTTTCTGCACAGTTTCTACATCACCCGGTCTTTCTATGACTTTCTAGCCATACCTGGCTCTATAGACAATTCCATGAGAACAAATGAATGCAGATGAATGCAGCCCAACATGGAACCCAGCAAGTTGAAAGAATTGAAACTAGAGGCAAACTCTTCCAACTCAAACAGTTTGCATCAACAAGCTCACACCCAAGTTTACACCACCACCATCAAGACTTTATACGACTGCGCACCATCAAATGTTGGTCGGACTGCAAGCATGCGTGGCCTTTCCCTGAGAGGACAGACACAGCCTTTATTGATTTGTTCGAGCAGTAAGACTTTTTGGGCAGTAAGACTTTTTTTGAGACTTGCTCTGCGCAAACACATCTGCGCAAACATTTGTTGCATGGCATATCATGGCAAACACATCCGAAACATCACCTGCCGAATAAACTGCATAGAATCTGGGAGGTCGAGCTCAAAATGACCCTCAGATTTTATAGACACTTTTTCTCTGGAATGAGATATCAACCTACTTGAAAAAAGCTAGCTTTAAAGCATGGGTCAAAGTGGTCGATTTTTCATTATGCCCAATAGGTTGAGCTATTCCATTTTATTAGGCATGAACATGCACCAGATTTTATAGAGGTTGTAGCTTTGATTTTCTAGAAAGCATTTGAATTTGGAGTAGTAGAAGACAGAGAATTGATTTCAGAGTGGATAGTGGATGGTGTGTTGAGTGGATGTGTTTGTATTCTGAATCATTCGATCATCCTCTGTTAAATTTCCGGTGAGTGTTGGGATTCCAGATTTCAACTGTCCAATCATCCCTCCATAACATCAATTTAATTGACGGTCTTTTTCTTTCTGCTTAACTTTCTTCTAAAATCAATTTCAACCCTGCAGTGTCCAAGCATGTCTCTATAAATCACAATCAACCTTTTGTGCCACTTTTGTCCAATCATGTCTTAAAATCAATTTCAACCCTGCAGTGTCCAAACATGTCTCTATAAAATCACAAGCAACCTTTTGTGCCACTTTTGTCCAATCATTTTCCAAAATCAATGTCAACCCTGCAGTCTTCAAACATGTCTCTATAAAATCACAATCAACCTCTTGTGCCACTTTTGTCCAATCATTTTCTAAAGTCAATTTCAACCGTCATATTGCCCCCACTTCTCTATAGAAACAATTTCAACCTTGGATTTGCATCAGTGATGTTCCATGAACTTCCCAAGTTTTGGCAGCATCGTTGTCTGAGGAAAACAACAGCTTTGCTCAAAAGGTCGAGCTGAACCATTTTATAGGGAACAGTTTCTCAGCACTGCAGTAGGTTGAGATTTGGTTCTATACTATAGTGGGGCATTCTGCCCTTTGAGGTTGGTTTTTCGATTTATCACTAGAATCAGATTCCCGACAGTCACCGGTAATTCCACAGGGGATTTAGCATGCCACCGACGTTTTGCTTAGTGTTTTGAATTTATTGACTAGAGACACTCTTACAAAGACATCAGTCAAAGGACCGCCTTCAAAAGCTGCTTTGATACCGATACATTCCATACATGTTGTCATGTTGTCATGTTGCATATCATGTTGTTTGACATATTAAGATATATTGAGCCGTGTTTACTGGACTAGTGGTTCTAAAGTCACCAGGGTGCCCTTATGTGCCCTTCCTTCTGCGTTCCGAGTGCAGGATGTGTCTTTTTGGCCTTCACAGTGCTGGGGAAGTTTCAGGACGAGTCCCGCCCCGAAGAAGGGTTCCACTGCGCCGGACGGGATCGACTGGTTGGAGAGTCGGTTGGAGAGTCGCCCATGGGTTCCAAGTTGATCCGTTTGCAGTTTTCTGTAGCCTTCTTTTTAAGGACATCGATCTTCTCCAGTCGGATGATGTCACAAGTGAGAACGTGATGTGCTTGTCGGGTGAGATGCGGCATGTGATGCTCAACTGCAGGAGCCAAACTGCAAGAAGTATCCTCAACTCTGTGCCGACACGCCCGGTTTTCCCAGGTTTGTTCAGCAGCAGGCAGGGGACTTCTTCATCAGCTTAATTATCACATTTCATTTATTTCCATCTAGGTTTTCGGGGGAAAGGGGTGATTGAAGAGAAACTCACATGTCACGAGTCACTTCCAGGCTAATGTAGACTCTGGATTAATAACCCCCGCATTTGAAGTGGAATCCTCTTCATATGGGGGTTTATTCATCAAGAGTCTGCATCCTTTGACCGCTCAGGTCTGGCTATGTCGTTGTGCTTGATGCTGGAAGTACAGGGACTCGAGTCCATGCCACCCGGTGGCAGGAGGGCAGCTGGTGGGGGTGTAGACTCTAGAGGTTCCTTTTTTAGCAGATGGCAACAGTTGATTGTTAGCTGCAGTCTTCAAAGCATGCAGTTTGTTCTCCGTTTACCTTCGTCGGCCCAGGTCTTCAATTATGAATACCGCAAGCTCGAACCTCGGCGCTTTCCGCTCATTGTGAGTCCCCCTCTGACACTGCCTACAGGACAGCTCTGGGTTCCGGTGAGGAAACCTGAAATGCACCTAAAAGCGTAGCTTCAGCAATGTCTGGAAGTGAATGAAGAGTCTCTTTGCCTCATTGTTGCCGAAAACTCCAGAAATATTTTTAAATGGCCACATCATGTATACATGATATATATATATACACACATATGAAAGCACGTGTATAATAGTATATATATATTATAATCTACACATATATATATATATATGTATATATAAGTCAGAGGCAATCGCAAATATGACTATACCCAGACCCATGCGATTTGTGGCTGCGCCAGAAATCGCCGCAGCGACCAACAAGCCTGGACTCTCGTCCTTCGTGCATCAGACCGAAGGAATTCCAAGGAGAGGAGTGAGAGGTTGGAGAGCCCGTTTGGTGCGCACAGTGCGCACGGTTCTTCAGTAGTCTAGTCACTTCCGTTCATTCCACAGAATCTCATGTTTCCCTGGTTCTCATGATCGCACATTCCTCAATCACTAGAACTTGGACCATGCGAGATATGAATCAAGCACAAGAGACCTTTTCCTGCAGGAAATTAGATGAGCTGATCCGGCATGCTGCGGATGAAACTGGGCTCCATTATGATGCATTAAATATAGATGGCAAACCAAACAATGCAGGAGTTGACCACGGGGATGCCTTTCACATAGCGTTTTGGATTCGGCTTTGCACATCTGACTGTATGTGAATCCGGCTGAAGCCAATTGCCTTCTTGTGGTTGCAGAGTCTATCCCTTCAAAGGCCTTGCTGCTGCACAATCCAGACGTGCAGTTGAAGCAGGCTCTGTTCCTTGTAAAGAGAGACGATTGATTGCTCAGAGCAAGGACCCTCACCAACCGTTTGATGCAGGAATCTCTTCTGAGGATCATTCCCTCATTCCCTACTAAGCACCAGCCTGTCAAAGAGCAAGGGCCCCTCCCCATTTTGGTTGGCCATAGCTAGCCAGTCAGATTCTTCAATCATAATCGATTCATATCCAACATTGTCCATATTATATATATAAGATACATATATAACAGATACATATTGATGCGTTCATCCATTTTCCACCGACTGAGCCGTGCTTCATCGAGTTAAATAAGTGGGGTGACAGTGCAGAGATGGCCGAGAGTACTTGATCGGTTGGTTGATGAATAGAGGGATACCCCCAAGTGAACAACCATAAAAAGATTCCCCAAACAACATCATACCTTCCCAAACCGTGCGCCCGCCTGCCCAGACCTGCCCAGACCAGCCTGGCCAGGTGCCGCTGTATCTGGGTGCCACTGCAGGGCTCCGCGAGCTGCACAACCGCGACCGGGACGAGGTGCGATGGTTCGGGGCGGAAAGGCGTGAGGAGGTCACCAGCTGAATCCAATGAGACGAACTCACGAGCTCAGCCACATGCTACGTCCCCAAAGCCACCTGCTACATGGATCACCTGTGGATCTTTGGATCTTTTTTGGGGGGTGAAGACATTTTTGAGACTTTTTGAGCTACATCCAACTGGTGCATTGACTCAAAGAACTTGTCACCTCCAGAACATCCGCAACGAACAACATTTGACACATCGATGATCTGCTCGTGGCTTCCACCTTTGGGCACATCCACAGAAGCCCATGTGGCCGCCACCAGGTGATGAAGGCAGCTCGCGAGTACCTCCGGAAGCAAGAGGTCTTTGCGGTGACACGTGATGAGCAGGATCGGACGCGGGTGTTTGCTATGCTCTCGGACGCGGTGGTTTGCCATGCTCTATATAACTGGAGGTGTGTGAGGAATGTGGGAGGTGATTAGACATGTCTTCAAGGGCGCTGATGGGTGGATGTTCAATGCAAATGGACTCTGAAGGGTGGTGAACATTCATAAACATTCATGCTCTTGAGGGTTGAGTGTTTGGACACTGGGGAGGTCACTTTACAAAACCGTGTGGGAAAACCATACATGACGTAGGTACCACAGACATCCACGGACACATCCGCGCTTCGTCTTTGGAAGGTGCGCGTCCTCTCTGGTGAAGAGGAGGGCGCCTTCGGCTGGCTCGCACTCAATCAGTTACAGGTGCCGTCGTTACTGGCGCGTACTGGTCGGCCCGTGGTGCGAGGACGTCTGTCTGCCACGTCTGTGGCTGCAACGGTCATGGACCATCATAGACTCATGGAGATGTTGCTGGTGGCTGTCTGTTGGTAGTTTTGCTATGGACACAGAATGGATGCACGTTTCACTGAGGGGCGATGGCATGCCATGCGCCCCCCCTCCTTTCAGACATACAGTGGTTCTGTTTGTCAAGACGGGAGCCAAAAGCAACGGTCCACTGAGAAAGGTCCTGCCAAGACCGGTCCTTGCACCGAGGATTCCAAATGTTGGAACCAAATCAAATGAATCGTGTGAACGTGAGTTATCCTGCATCCAGTTACTAGAAGCTTAAGTAGCTAGGAGCTTGCTCTCTTTCTTTTTATTGATATTCCTTATCCACCGTGGCGAGCGGCGAGCGGCGAGCGGGCAGAAAACACTGACCGACCCGCTTGGGCACCGTGAAGGCCGAGTCGCTCGCCGAGTCGTTCGCACCGACCTAAGTGCCGCCTCAGGCGGAGATCAGTCCCGATTCAGATACCACTTTGGGTGCCTTGGACTTCGGCGGTGCCTCCATGCAAATCGCCTTCGTGGTCTCCTCAGGATGTGGGAAAGGAAAGAGTCAGGGTAGTAGAGAATACACGGCGATGTAGTACTGCAGATGATTAGATAGCTTGGTATACAAGATGACAACGACTCAGGAATCAGGGAGGAATGCTGTTCATCGTTTAATGGCACTTCGGCATGATGAACGCCAGCAACACTTACGTGAACTTCCATGTTCTGGTTCTTTCACCTACGGGCTACACTACGGGCGATGGTTTTAAAGTACAACGTGTAGATATTGTGAGTGATGCCCGAGGTGCCTCAGGAGACGTCTATCCTTGCAGGGCTTTTCCCGATGCATTTCGGCGGAAGTGTGAAGGGCCCCATTCACTTGTACTCTCACAGGCGGGATTTGTGCATGATACGCCTTCAGGCAGCATAGGATTTTTTCTGGGCTGAAAAGCTCGCCACGCAGACTTTCCGAAACACATCCATGCCCGAGTGTTTTTGCATCGGGCATGGCGACCAGACGACCAATAGATTTTCCCTACGCTGTAAAAGCTTGAGCTGCGTCCATATGTAGGAGCTTCTCCCTTACTTATATAAATATACTTCAGGCGGACAAACGTTTATGCTGGTTAACCATGTTCAAAAAACGCTGTATGGTCAGCTGTGGATCGAATTACCAAGTCCAATTTGCGTGGCAGGTGTGGGACGGTCAATTATCACACCGTTTTGAATCTATATTTACCAGGCTACCGCCTGCAGCCGCCGACCCCCAAGGGATAGAACCTTAGCGCTAGCCTTGCTCTATGTTAGCCTTAGCCTTAAGCCTTGGCCTTAGCCTTGCCCCCCCCCCAAGAGTGCAGACCCAACCCAGCACCACCAAAGCAGGTACCCAAAAAGTCGACTTTTTGGGTACCTCCCAGATTTACCATCGGACGTCAGCTCTTGCATGAACCCCGATCATTGCCCAAGAATTTAGACCCAACCCTTCACCACCAAAGCAGGTACCCAAAAAGTCGACTTTTTGGGTACCTCCCAGGTTTACCAATTTAGACCCAACCCAGCACCACCAAAGCAGGTACCCAAAAAGACAAAGCCTAGAGCATTCCTAGGAAAATGCCAGAAAAGCCTTTGAAAATCTCATAAACCAACAGAAAACGTGACAAAATCTACGAAAAAGCAAGGGCATTGGCCGGGACCATGCCGCGACCAGCCCGGGATTCGAACCCAGGACCATTTTGGACCGTGCTTATTTTCCCGCGCGGGTCGAGAGGGTGCCCCAAGATGTAAATCAATTGGGATGGCAGAATCTTGGACAACTCCCGTCAAAATCAGGTAGCTTTCCTGGACAATCTGCGCCAGGTCTAAGGCTAAGGACTAAGGCTAAGGCTTAAGGCTAAGGCTAACATCGACAGTCACGCCTCACCCCACGTTTTGGGGTCGGCGGATTTATAAATGGCTTTCCGGTGTGAACAATGACCGCCCACACGGCCCCAGGTATCTCAATGTAGGATTCTAGGGGGTAAGGGTTGACATGAGTTTGTGTCTCAAGAAGCGCAACTTTTGTCTGGCCAGTGTAATAGGTATAATAGCACTTACTTAATTAAGTAGGGAGGGGGGACTAAAACAAAATCACCGTCTAGTGCCATCTAGTGCCACCAGGACATGCAATAAGGAGGCGCAGCGTGGCTCCTTTTTGTACCGTTGGACTCTAGGAATCTCTCAAACCATCAAGCTCATTCTGACCAGAATCTGAAAAAAGAGCGCACCCAGGCACCCCGGCTTTGTGGGTAGAGTGCAACAGACAGATCCTTGTGGTGTTGGACTCCAACTGAGTGGTAAGTGAGGTTATGGTGAGGTAGGAGGAGTGATAGATAGACACTCCATGCAACAATCAAACGCATTCATACGCAACATCTTCCGATGGGCATCACCTGGGGACGTCCATCTATATCTTCCATTAATACAGGCCAACAGGGGCCAATAGAAAATCGAACCCATTCCATTTCAGGGTGAATTCGGTCCACACCCCGAAGGTCAGATTTCACTTTGTTGAAAGGAATGGCCCGAGGCGCTGCAATTTTCGCTTCTGAGATGAACGAGCGGAGTGCCAATGCACCGCAAAAAGGCATCCCTGAGCCCCGATCAAACACATCCCCCCAAACCCAACCATGACCAACCATGACCAACCTTCTCTGGTCTTTTTGTGTTGGAGAAAGCCGCCTCCGCAGCTTCACGGGCTACGGCAGCGTGGTGGCCTTCCAGCGAGCGACGCGGGTCCTCCTGGAGTGCGGCACTCAGCAAGGACGCAGGTAGGGATTGGTGTAGGTCGACCTGCCCAAAAACCAAAACGAGAAAAGAAACACCAAGTAAGAATGCTCCTAGTAGCGATGCCAGGAGCCCCGTTCGTAGCGTCCTTGCTCCTAGTAGTAGGGCCAGGAGCCCCTAGTAATTAGCTTCTTTGTTTAATGCCCCTAGCAGTTGGTTCCGGGAGTTGGATGAATTTGGTCATTCATAGTCATTCTTTGGGAGGAAGGGATTTGAACCAGTTTCAAGATGTTCCAAGGCAGAGGATTCATGCGAAGTGCTTGGGAGTGATTTTGTCCCGATGTCCTGCACATGAATCACATGTTTAGAGTCAATAGTCAGTGCCTTGAACGCCTGATTGTCTTGCAAACTTGGTTCCAAGCACGAAGGTGCGAAGTCTTGATCTGTTATTCTCCGCATGTGGAAGGTTCGATGTTCCCAGCCGACTCTGCAGTCCTCCTTTGGGCTTTGAGCATCCGGACTTTTCGGCGGCTTTCAGACCTGAAACGATGGCTTGTGATCACATGGACAGCCTTTGCTTGCGTGGCCTCCCCACGCCTTCTGAAGCTCCACTCGAGCTGAGCACTGTGAGGTGGGGCGGAAGACGGAGCTACCTCCCAGCCCAACAGGTTTGATCAAGGATGGTTTCCCGCTGGTAGGTCGAAACGATTCGAAACGCGAGGTCGAACTGAGTATTGAATGCAGCATGGAAGCTTGTGGAATGATAGAAAAGAAAACCAATCGTCCATGCAAGGTGACCATCAATAAAAGAAAGCCTGCCCCTCCATCTCTCGGATTGAGACCCAGGATGGTCCAACATCATCTCCACGTTTGGGGTGTTCAAACCGAACGCTGCGCAGTCCCATCGGCCCATCCTCCCACCCACGAGGCCCACTTCTGCGTCCTCGGCTCTTGCCACGTCCTCCACGGTGAAGCTGCCTCCGGTGCGTCCAGCAGGGGCGACCCGCTGCCGTGCCGCCCTCACCGTGACCAGCGAGGTCCCAGAGATGGAAGTCTCCGTAGAGCTCACCGAGGGCGAAGTCTTGGAAGGTGCGAAGTCGGAAGATAATTCTGAAAGTCAGAGTCCAAAGAATTGTACTTGAATATCGGAATAGTAAAATCATCCCACCCCCAAAAAAAGAAGATGCGCCGCGATGCCAGTGATCAGACTAGGGTTTCTATATGTTTCAATCGAGCACCTAAATTTGCTCAGCCGTGTTGGGAACAGTAGCCACAAGGCATGTTCTAAGTTGAAGTTGTCAAATACCAAAGGTGGTTGCATCGGACATCATCGGACAGTAATGTAGACTCTTGATTCATAAACACCCCATATGGAGATGTTGAAATGAATTCAGTGCAAAACGAACGGGTTTTCATTCAGCAGAAGTAGGTGGATTGCCCTTTGCAGAGCTTCGTGGATGGTAATTTGGGGGGTTCGCGGAAGACTTCTTTGCTATTGCCCAAAGAGGGGGTAGTTGCACATCAAACTTCTACAACTTCTACTCACAAGGGTACTGCGGATGAGAAAAGTATAAAGATGTAAAACGATGAGCTGCGCATGAGCTGCGCATGAGCGAACCGTCTGGGACCCGTGTGGTTCCGGCCCTTCCGGCGACTCGAGACCCGGAGCGGTTCCCGGCCGCCCACGTCGAGGCTTCCCGGTGCCCTTGCCACTGGGCCAGACGGTGAGACACTGTCGATCCTCGGGCGCCATTGTGGGGCAAGTCTGCGTGAAGGGCGTGCCACCGGTACCCTTTGGGGTGCAAGTGGAGGTGGGACATGGGGGGATTTGGGGTGATTTTTTTGGAGGTTCTGGTGTCAGGCTGGACATTGTTGAACATCCCATACATAATTAAGGTCTGTACTTCCAGTCTCTTTTCGCTTGTCCCTTCGGTAAACAAACATCAAACAAGCGTCATGCGAGTCGCACCTGCTCACTCAGAAAGGCCCCTCGCAGCTCCACGTCCTTCTCTTCAGTGGCGGGTCCACGGAACTTCGTGGCGACCGAGATGCGCTCGCGCACCGTGCAGATGGGCGCTGAAGACCTCAAAGTGGGCAACGGCCTTCGTGCGCAGGGAGAAGGCACTGTGGTGGATGTGTCCATCAGTGATGGACACGAGGCGGCGATTTTGGTGAAAATCCGGCAAGCCAAAAAGAAGGAGCTCACCATGTTGGCACAGCAGCAGGCACTCAAGAATGCCATGGAACGGGGGCGCTATGGGAGCTTGCTGGCCCAAATCTCCCGGTCGAAGTCGCGGAAAGTGGAGGCGGCCCTGATCGATGAAGCCAGCCGTGTCTTGAAGTCCATCCAGCCCAAAGAGGGCTCGTTCATGACGCACAAAGAATTGGGCCATTTGATGCGATGGAGCAAAGCCACATCTCCTGACGGTTCTCATGAAGTGGTGCAGTCCTGCGAAAACTGCGAGGACTGCCCCTGCAACAAAGGCTTCGCATCTCCTGGCGAGTTGTGTGATGTCATTGGCGGCGCGGTCAGTGATGCACTGGATGGGATCGCACCCAACCACATCTCTGCAGATGAATGGCTATTCAAAGCCTTGGTCAGAGCAGCACTGAATGCTCCAGAAGGCTGTGTGTGGAAGTCAGGTGAGGAGTGGACAAAACCATCATGAAACTATTGTAATTAAAATTAGAACTGCAATTATACATTGCTGATTTGAAGGAGCACCCTTCATTTCCCCAAAGAACATGGGATCACCGTTCTGTCTTTCAGTAGCTAAGCTTCGTTTGGTCGCTTTCGTGTTGAGGTGGAAAGTTCTTGCTCACCAACGAAGAGCGAAACCAGTCGGCGACGGCCATTGTTGGAGTCTTGGAACGAGAGAGCCAGGAGACCGACGCTGGAAAGGGCATTCGGGCCTTAGTTGCTCACACCGAGCAGGAGTATGGCTACCGCGTGACAGCCATTCAGCTGAATTTTCATCCGAACCAAAAGTCCTCACACAAGCAACACCGCGACATCTATGGCGCGGGGCAGAAAGGTGGAATCAACTGCACTTGTAGCTTCATGAAATGCACCGGGACCGTTTGTTATTCCCTGGGCTCCAGTCGACAAGTGCTTTGTGAGACGATCACTGACTCACGCTCCAACTACGAAACCTGCGGCGAAGAGTGCACGGGCATGAAGACTTACAAGTGGATGCACAGTGGCAGCGCCATGCACTTCAACGCGCCCTGGAATAACAATCACACTCACGGAGTGCCGCCCATGGAGGACAAGTGTGGTCCCAGGATTTCCATTGCGCTACTTTGCGCGTAAATGTAGTCGTTTGCACCTTTTAAATAAACGTCTCCTTTTTCCCGAGTGTTTATGTGCTTTATCAGGTGCTTGGCAAAGCCAGTCTGAGTGACGAAAGGAGAAAAGCTGCGTGGATGTTGGGGACTGCCTTGGATTTCTGACTTCTGGATTGGTTTGTTGTTTGTAGCTCTTCTCATTTTCACTACCCCTATCAACATGGGGTGAATTGCTCTGCACACCTTGGAGCCTGAGGTCCCACCGAAAGCGGAAGACAGAAGAGGCCAGCGGCCACTTAGGGAAATACGTGGGATCACTGGAATGAAGCCATGACAAGCGTTAAACAACAACAACAACAACAACAACAACACGTTAAACACATGGCATTGCGATGAAACGAAGCTGGAAATGAGACATCATAGACTCAGGATCGCTTATCGATCAATTGCGGAGACATAGGTAGAGGTGGAGCTGCTCTACTCTATCATATTGTATTGCATACTACATATTGTAGTTACTTTACAAACCATGGCACATTGAAGTTATTTTTCATCCACTATATTGTGTGGCATTGTGATTCGTCCACTGCATTGTATGGCACTGTGGTATATTCGATTGAATTGAACTCAAATATATCATGTTGTATCGTCTAGAATGTATTGTAATCAATCTATTTGTTGATCCCCTTGACATTGTAGATTTTTAAGAGGCTCCAACTTATATCCAAGAATGTCTGCAAATTGATTGCTAATTTCCTGCTGTATATATTATACACATATAAATATACTATATCCACTGCATGACACCGTTCATCTCTATGGCTTACGTCGATCATGCATATTGCAAAGGTTCGTAGGTATCATCTAGGTCCAATTATTTCCTAATTTCTGTCTCTTACTATGATCACCCCATTCATTCTGTACTTGTATCAGCAGATCCATGAACGGCAAACACACGACCCCCTGCAATAGGTTGGGTAGTTTCTCACTGGAAGCGTGCCACTTCATGTCCTAAACCTGCATTCCCAGATTAATATAGCACAACACCTCCGGCAAAACATTGCATATCCCCTTTGCTTTTGCATCCTTTCTCCCACCACCATCTCCACTCCGGAAACGCAATTCCGCTCCCAAAAGGGCACCCCTTTAGCTAAAGCTTTGGAGCGATGTGATAGTGCCCCAACACGTTAACACTCCTTAGGCAGCACCCTGCAGCGGCAACGGCATCCTGCAGCGGCACCAGCACCCACACCCAGCCTCCAACCGTCTCTCGCCTGTTCTTGCGTTACCAAAATATCTGATGGGCTCAAGAACAGCAACGTGCACGGGCGGCAGCTGTGATGCTGTGACGATCATTCCCCCAACTTCTGCACACACACATGTGTAATCTAGGTAGTATATATTTACTATATATCTCCGCTGTTTACATAAGTTGCATATGGAAGGACAGTGGACATGTTAACTGGTTTTCACAGAGCCTGGTGAATGAAGGAAGTGAAGCATCCTTGCATGCCTACTGGCTTGACGTGGAATGCCCGATGCTCAGTGGATGTGATGATTCATTGGCACGAATCGATGCCTGATCAAGTGGAGGGGTCATCCGAGAAGTAGTTTCATTGATGACATGTGGGATGGTCCCCCACACACACATTCCTAGTTGGGGGAGCGCTCAGATGGTGCTTTGGGCAAGTGGCGGGGTTCCATGTTTATTCCCCAACAGCGAAGTTCAGACTTTCAGCCATAATAAAGGCTTCAGAGCAGATGTTCCGGAGCAGGTTCCGGTGCAGATTCCGCAGCAAGTGCCAGAGTTCCAGAAGAGTTTCGCAGTATGTTGCAGATGTGCTGCCCCACCCACCAGCCAGCTAGCCAGCTACCCACCCTGCCGATGCTGCCATTGTATTTTAGTAGGCGGTTTTCTGGGTTTCTTGGCTTATGGGGGATAATATGACCATGAAGATGGACATGTTGGCACGAACGCCAGTCCAAGGAACACTAGCCCAACCCCTTTCTGTGTTGAAGAGTTACTTTTGAGTAACACTCGACCTTGTTTTTCCATGTGTCGCATAGGCTTTGCCAGTCGCACATTTCTCAGGTCAATCACGATGAGTTCGGGGTGTCTCGGCAGACGTCAGGGGTTCTGAGACTCCACGAAAAAGAAGACAGTGGCTGCTGAGTTTCGAAGAGTGCGCATCGTGAGACATGACCACACAGACATGAGGTTTGCGGACGGCGGACACAGCGGACACAAAGATAAAGGGGTGGGGATACCTGTGGAAACCTGTGATTCCAGTGTCAGTTTTTGGTTAGGTGAGCATCAACAAGACGGACCCAGAGCGAGAAAAGGGCCCACTGAAGAAGCTCGACTGAGATCAACTCCATGTTGACTGATCCGAGAGGTTGAAGAGCTGCGAGGGCTTCGCAGACACAGTTTTTTTGCATATGTGTTTTTGTTCTTGAACAGTTGCAGTGTTGATACAGGTTGATACTGTAACATTGGCAGTGATGATCTTCAAATTTCTTTTGGCCTCTTAGACATTCAGTCATTTTCAGAGTTCTGCCTTACTCTTGGATGAGATTTCCCAGGTTTGCCCCCAATGCTCCAAGTACCCCCCGTGACCCGGAGTCTCCCAGTTCAGGCCGCAGAAGCGGCCACCCGAGGCTGGTTGGAACCGGAGACTTTGACGGTTGCTATGCGTTGACAGCGCCACTCTTTGACAAGGACAGTGGTTGGGCAAAATGTTCGCATATTCTTTTGTATTTTAGCCTTCCAGCCTGCATCCAAACCTGCGCTTGCCCAACAATTGTTAGTAGTCTAGGGCTCTAGGGCCGTGAGCATGCGTGAAGATGTGAAGATTTGAAGGCGAACTCAAAGGGAGCTCAGCTGAAGTTGCAGTTTACGATAGGGGCGGTGGGTTCGGATTGGAAGAGCCAAGAAGGAAAAACGACAGTTTTAAATTCAACAGGTGGTCGGCGGGGGCCCTCAACCTGAAAGATCAGATCACCATGCATGATTATTAGAATCATGATGCGAGATGGATGCACAGAAACCACCACGTCACTACAGGTCAACAAAATCATCACCACCGAGCCTCGCGACTCATCACAGATCTCCAAAGGAGAAGATACATCATACTCATCGAAGTGGATGTGCATTGATAGACCACCTGAAACAGAAGATACTCGTATAGTGGGATGTGAAACATAGCCACCTGGTTGAACCAGTGATGCGAAACAACAGGTATAGTGTTCCCTTTGCATCGCCACTATGCCGCTGCCAGGAGACACCTTGCTTCTTGCCACCCTGCTCCATGATGGGCGTCTATCAGCCCCGACTCAACGGGACTGTTCGATGTCGTCGAGACCGATGGTGGTTCCGCCGAAGGATTCTTTCACCCGTTAGTGCGTTGATACAGGGCAGGCCATTATATCTTATACTTCTTCTCAGACGGACTCGTGGCCAGGACGAGATTCGTCCTCTTCGGTGAATATGCTCGATTCAAGCAATGGGAGGCGAGACGGTGGTTTGTCTTGTCCAAGAACGACTATCCAGGTTCTTCTAGTAGTTATATTTTTTGTACTACGCAGGTCCTGGCCAAAGGGCTGAGAATGGTTTGAACTGCCCTTGGCCGACGTGGTGTTCAAAGATGCGTTCAAGCCTACCCTGAAATTCCAAGTCGAGTTTTGAATATGTATAACCTGATGTGACTTTTTGTCATGCCAACCTCTGGTGGATCAAAGCTGCCGGGCTCGGAATCTGATGTTCCTGTTTTAACTCCCTGATCAGAGCATATCAGAGCCGTTCATCGAACACCTCCATGCTCTAGAACGATTCATACTTAGTTGGAAGCGATGGCCATTCTTGGGTCGATTTGATCCTAGTGAGGTGCTTCCACTGGTGCAGAAGGCGGAGCCAGCGGAGCGGGTGGGAACTGGCACGCAACTGCGTTTTCTGTGCATCATATGCTTTCGTATCCGGCTTTGACATCTCGGTTTGTGACTGTCAGCAGCGAACATCAGTATCCCCAAATATTCCAAAAGCAAAAGTGAGGAGCTTCACTCAGCTTCACTATCTTCACTATCAGCACCGGGCTCACCGCAGGGCTTGCCGCTCATGAAAGCTTTGGAAGTTCAGCTGCCACGCTTGTGCTCTTTGCCCTTGAGGACACAGGCGATCCGTGGCTCAGTCCGTTTGGCCCACCAGCGCCGATTCGCACCAGGTTATCGTGGTGGTAGAGGGGTATCTCAAGGAATGCCGAAGACTCTCCATCTGAGGGAAGGGGACGAAATGCTGAATTGATGTTGATGGAGTTAAGCTTCCACTGGGTGCGATCAAAATATATAACAATTAAATTAGGACAACAATGTAGGACAACCAATAAAAAGACATTAGGAAGACTGTAGGACCAACAACACCCATTTTACACCATTTTACTGTCTTTGGATGTCTTTGGTCCTATTGTTTCCTATTTGGGTCCTATTACAGTATCATCATTATTGTTTATCTATGTTTATCTACTTATCACAGTTTTTTGAATATTTGTAATGCAGTTTTTTTTCTCCAAACACTGCCAAGGCACTGGAAATCTTGCAGTCTCCTCGAAACAAATCGGACAATTGGGAGAACTAGGGAACACTCTATATTTAAGGGCTGCCGCCCCTGCCGCCGACCCCGGAAACACCTCCCGGTAGCCATTTTAGCTTGGTTTGCCAAGTGGCGCCACGACAGCTATCGTGTCTGCAAAGAGTGCGCAGCGCGC